CCTTGAGGTTTATCCATGCTGCGGCATGTGTCAGAACTTCCTTATAAAGGCTGAATAATACTCCGTGTCTACATGTACGGCATCAAAAAGAATGAAGCACTTGGGAATTAACCAGGGAGGTGAAAGGCATATACAAGGAAAATTATAAAATGTTGCTGAAAGAAATGAAACACAAATAAATGGGAAGACATCCCTCCATGGATTGGAAGAGTTACTGTTATTAAAATGTCAGTACTGCCCAAAGCAATCTAAAGATTCTGTTTGATCCCTGTATAAATCTCAGTGATGGTTTCTGTGGACTCTCTTAATCAGAACGTTTAGTCCTTGTTTCACTTATTTCTTGATAATTTGGGTTTGTATCTGCCATCTTACTATTTGCTTTCTGTTTGTCTTGGCTGTGTTTTTTTTGTCTCCCCTCTCCCCTCCTTTTTGGATTATTTTTTAAACTTTATCTTTCCTCTCTATTAATCATACTTTTTTAAAAATAAGTTTTTATTTATTTATTTGACAGAGAGAAAGGATCACAAGTAGGCAGAGAGGCAGGCAGAGGGGGAGGGGGAAACAGGCTCCCTGCTGAGCAGAGAGCCTGATGCGGGGCTACATCCTTGGACCCTGAGATCATGACCTGAGCCGAAGGCAAAGGCTTAACCCACTGAACCACCCAGGTGCCCCTAATCATACATTTTTTATTAAGTAATTATCAGGGAGATAATAACCTGCATCTTTGACCTACAAAAGTCTAATTAGTAATTTTATTTCTTCCTGGACTCCTGCAAACACCTTAGAATACTTCAATACTAATTCTGCTTACCCAATTCCTAACTCATATGTTGGGTATTTTAATCTTTGTGCATATAAAGCACCAAGAGCTGATAATAGTTTATATAATTTTTATTAATTTAGATGTATCTATATATTTACCCTTTTCTTGCCTTTCCCTCTGTATCCTCAGGTTTTCATCTGGGATAATTTTCTTTATCCTTGAAGATCACCCCTATTAATTTTTCTTTGCTGAAATTATCTTTGCTTTTAAAATTTTTAAAATTGTGGTTACATGCATATAAAGCATAAAATTTGCCATTTTGACCTTTTATATTAAAAATTTTTAATTGTAAAATACAAGATTTACTGTTTTAACCTTTTTGAATAGGCTTTATTTTTTAGAGTAGTTTTAAGTTCACAGCAAAACTGAAGAACAGGTGGAGCGATTTCCTTCTGCCCACACACATGCCTAGGCTCCCTCATTACAGATGTCCCCCACCAGAGTGTACATTTGTTGCAATTGACCAACCTGTATTGATACATCATTATCACTCAAAGTCCATTGAAGTTCACTGTTGGTGTTGTATATTCTGTTGCTTTGGGGAAATTTATGATATTATCATACAGAGTAGGTTCACTGCCTTAAGAATTCTGTGCCCCACCTGTTCATCTCTTCCTTCCCCCTAACTATTTTTAAAATGTTAACATATTTAATTGTAAAATATACATAACATAAAATTAACCATCTTAACCTTTTGCTTTTTCTCTCTTAAACCATTATTTTGGAAGATTTTATTTATTTATTTGACAGAGAGAGCTATGTGAGAGAGGGAACACAAGTGGGGGAGAGGGAGAGGGAGAGAGAGAGGAAGAAGCAGGCTTCCCGCCAAGCAGGGATCCTGATACAGGGCTCGATCCCAAGACCCTGGGATCATGACCTGAGCCGAAAAGAGATGCTTAATGACTGAGCCACCCAGGCGCCCCTCTTAAACCATTTTTAAGTATATAGGTAAATAGTGACTAGGGTACCTCATATAAGTAGAACCATAGAAGTCTTTGTCCTTTCAGGATGGCTTTTTTTTATTTAACAAAATACCTTCAAGGTTCATCCATGTAGCATGTGCGAGAACGTCATTCCTTTTTACGGCTGAATGTTCCATTGTATGTGTATCACATTTTTTTATCTGTCCGTTTGTTGATGGATATTTGGGTTATTTCTACCTTTTGCCTGTTGTAGGTAATGCTGCAATGAACACTGGCATCCGAGTGTCTGAGTTTTTTTTAATGCTTGTGGTTATATGCCTGTAAGTAGAATCGAGGAGTCATATGGTAATTCTACATTTAGCTTTTTCAGCAATCACCTGAAAATGTTTTGCAAAGTGACAACATTGTTTTATGTGTCCACCAGCAGTATATGAGGGTTCCGGTTTTTCCACATCCTTGCCAGCATTTGTTACTTTCCATTATTTTGGCTGTAGCCATACTATTAAGTGTGAAGTGGTATCTCATTGTGGTTTTGATTTGGATTTCTGTAATGACTAATGATCATCTTTCTGCGTGTTTATTGGACATGTGTATATCTTTGGAAAAATGTCTATCCAAGTCCTTTGTCCATTTTTCAGTTGGGTTGTCTTTTTTTTTAGCTTTTTATTTTAATTCCTGTTAGTTAACATACGGTGTTAATTAGTTTCCAGTGTACAGTCTAGTGGTTGAACAATTCCATATATCACCCAGTGCTCATTATGACAAGTACACTCCTTAATCCTCTTCAGCTGTTTCACCCATCCCCCACCCATGTCTCCTCCAGTAACCATCAGTTGGTTCTCTATAATTAAGAGTCCATTTCTTGATTTGTTTCTCTTTTTTTTTTTTTCCCCTTTGCTCACTTGTTTTGTTTCTTAAATTTCACATATGAGTGAAATATGGTATTTGTCTTTCTCTCACTTATTTTGCGTAGCATTATATTCTCTGGCTTCATCCATGCCATTGCAAATGGCAAGATTTCATTCTTTTTATGGCTGAGTAACGTTCTATTGTATATATAGACCACATCTTCTCCATCCATCCATTCATTCATGTGCGGACACTTGGGTTGCTTCCATATCTTGGCTATTGTAAATAGTACTGCTATAAACAATAAGCATACATGTATCCCTTTGAATCATGTTTTCTAGTTTCAGAATTTTTATTTAGGGTTTGAAAAAAAAACACAGTTGTAAAATTCTCTGCTGAAATTTTAAGGTCATCCTTTATTTTCCTGAAAATATTAAGCATAGTTAAAACTCCATTATGCAGATGCCTGATGAATCTGTTTATGTTCGCTGTTGTTTTCCTTGGTTCTCAGTCACGGAATCTTTGTCTTTTTCTGCACTTGGATATTTTTGTTAGAATGCCAGGTATGATGACGAAAAATTATAATTCCAGCTTTGCGATCGTGTTATCTTCCTTCGATCCTTTCCAAGGATTTACATTTAATCCCTATGAGGGTTAGTTAATGTATCTTATCGCTGGTGTCTCCTTACTCTTAGAATAAAGACATCTTGAGCTCAGTACAAATCCTAGAGACTTTCTCAGCAACTTGGACCTTCCTTGGGGGGCTATGATTCTCAGTATTGATTTTTTAGCCCTTGAAATCTGTCCAAAGCTCTGTTCAGCTTTTTAGCTTCTTATATAAGAATTACCAGATGCCTTAGGGGAAGACATTGCTCTAAATGTTTATTAGTTAAACTCTGGGTTTCCCTTTTCTCTCACATGTTGGCTTTGTAATTCTTGGCTGCCTTAGTAGCTCTCTGGGATGTACACATATATCTTTAAAATTGTAGTAAATATACATAACTAAATTGACTATTTTAACCATTTTTCAGTGTAGAGTTCGGTGGTATTAAGTACATCTACATTGTTGTGCAACCCTCACCACCGTGCACCTGGAACGCTTCGTTTTACAGAACTGGAACTCTGTACCTATTAAATAATAACTCCGCATTTTCTTCTTCCCTCAGCCCCTGACAACCCCCATTTTACTTTCTGTCTCTATGAATTTGACTGCTCTAGGTGTCTCGTGTATGTGGAATCCTATCTTGTCTTTTTGGATTTGGCTTATGTCATTTTAGCATAATATCTTCAAAGTTCAACCATGCTGTGGCATGTCTCAGACTTTCATTCCTTTTATTGGCTGAATAACCTTCTGTCGACTGGATACACCACATTTCATTTGTCCATTCATCATTAATGGACACTTGGGTTGCTTCCACCTTTTGGCTATTGTGTATAATGCTGCTATAAACCTAAATATGCAGGTATCTGGGTCCCTGCTTTCAGTTCTTTTAGGTATATACCCAGAAGTGAAATTGCTACATGATTTGGTAATTCTGTGTTTAGTTTTTTTGAGGAACGATCCTACTGTTTTCCATAGTGGCTGCAATATTTTACATTCCCATGAGGAGGGCACAAGGATTCTAATTTTTCCATATCCTCACCAGCACTTGTTATTTTGTTTTGTTTTGTGTTTTGACTTTGGCCATCATAATTGATGTAAAGTGATTTTCAAAAATAGTTTATGTAGCTTTTCTAGTTTTTACTAGGAGGGTTGATCCAGAAGTGAGCCACTCCATCTTTCTTTTACACCTAGCATAGTACTGTATATAGAGTGTTCTGGAAACTAAAGGGGTATACAAACACAAGGTCTGAGTCAAAGACAGCAAAGTGTGATGGGTAAGCCTTGACTTCTGGAATTACAATCACCTAGGTTTGAAGTTGTGTGACTTTGAGTTATTTTACCTGTGTTGAATAAGGATACTATTTATATATAGTTTTTTATTTTATGAAAAGCAGAATAGTAGACTAGGACTCCAAAACTTGGGTATTTGTCCAGGAATTAGTAAAAAAGAAGGTAATACTATCTGCTTGACAAAGACAAAGTGTCTTGTGAGAATAACATGAAGTAATGCAAAGAAAAGTTTCTGGCATTCAATAAGTGCTCAGTAAGTTTTAGCTATTGTTTCTTTCAGTTGTAGTTTTTGTTGGCTTATGAACCAGACATGCTATCTATCATATTTGCTGATTGTAGTCCCAAGTCTAAGGTTAACTTGCTCTTTTTCAAAAGATATTTTTCGCCCCCAGTGGTGTCTGTGTGATAGGGTTTCCATTGCTAACTGTATTTGCTTGCAGCAAAAAGGAGCATTAATTATCTCCGTCCTCACTTAGTCCTCACTTTTTTTTTTTTTTTCTTATTCTATTAGGACTCTGGTTAGGAGTAGAATGGGACAATCCCGAGAGAGGAAAGCATGATGGAAGCCACGAGGGGACTGTGTATTTTAAATGCAGGTAATTTTTCATTATGAATTTGCACAGTTATTTCAGGTAATATTCAATAGTTGAATAAAGGGGGATGGAGAAGAAGAAATGTTTGGCTTTGGGTATAGTTATAATGTAGAATTTGATGTATTCTTAAAAAAAAACAAACCTAATTTGCAGAGTTTTTTCCCTTAGCTTTTAAAACTCTGGCTCTTAACTTCACAAGTAAGATTGCTTGCTTTTTCCTTCCTTGGGTTTTGTTTCTTGACAGCTTTTTTAAATTGGATAAATATAAACATTTCTCATCAATAAACAATTTACAGTCCACTAAGTGAATAATAAAAAAGAGAAATAACCTAGGTATCCAATAAGAAGCAGTTGATTAAACAAAGTACAGACCACCTGAACAGGGGACTGCTAGGCCACTGTCAAGAAAAGTGCTTATATTGCTTATCAACTAATATTTTTAACTGCTTGAATTCAGAGAAACTCTATGAAGCTTTGAAGAGGATGGTGGGATGCTTTCAGACAGAATTTTTGAAATTTTTGTTGTTTGTTTTCCTTAGTAGGTTTCAGTTTCTCAGAAAGACCTTGGTGTTTTGTTGTTGTTGTTGTTGTTGTTTGTTTTTTGTTTTTTGAGAGAAAGCACAAACCAGGGGGAGGGCGGAAGGAGAGGGAGAAGCAGACTCTCTGCTGAGCAGGGAGCAATGCAGGACTGACCCCTGGACCCTGGAATCAAGACCTAAGCCAGAGGCAGAGGCTTAACCAACTGAGCCACTCTGACGGATCAAAAGATCAAAAAGGTCTTTTAACATCAAACTTATTTTCCCTTAAGTGTGGCAGAGTGAACGCAGTCCTGGCCCTGAATGAGACTAAATTTACTAACCTCTAAAATGGGGATCAAAATTAGATAATAGCAAAATATATTTCCCAGCCTACCATTCTGTAATTTTGAAGAATCAGGCAGATGACAGACTTGGAATGAGGCCGGCTCAGATGTGTCAAGAGTTCATGGAAGATACGTTTAGGGAGGTGTGGAAGTAGAAGTTCCTTATCCTGGCTTGTTGATCCCCCACCTTCCTGAACCGTGACCTCATAAACCTTCCAGTGAAGGAGCTTTTCCTCAAGAGCCTGCCCAGCCCCATTCCCTTTTCTAAAAGTGCACCCACATCATTTGTGATTGCGTGGACCTTAATGGGCTCTAGATGGAGTGATGTTTTCACTCTTGGTTATTCTTAGTGTAAAAATGAAGAGTTGTTTCAGTCTTGACAGACCTTCGGGATTTGCCCTGACGGGCTGATAGAGGCCTTGGTTCAGGAACAGGGACTCATTGTTTGGATTCTTTCCCTTGGAATAGTATTTGCTTATTTCCTCATGTCTTCTAGTGTGGTCATGCCTGAGCATTTACAAACTGAAATACATACTCTCCTGTTCCAAACTACTATTCTTTCATTTCATTGAAATGAGCCTTTTGTTGATTTTAAGTCTTACATGGGTAGGTAATGTTAAGTCTGTATCCCGTTGCAGAATATTTATGGGGTAGTACAGAAGGGAGCATTGGGTCTGATGTGGTGGAGAACCACTGGTCTAGACTAAGAGAATCACCTTTATAGTTGTTAATGCTTATACTGGCATAATTAGGAAGGACATGACTAATAGAGATCGTATCAGTATTGTGGAATCTCTGTCTCGTACGAAACAGATTACATTACATGTATTTGTTAAGTTCATTGATCTCTTCCTAATACATCATACACACTTCTTCCCTGTCAAAACCCGTGTTTGGAGGTGGCCATACGGAGGTGATCTGGTCCACCCCCTAATCCTCTTTTGACAGTGTCACGCCAACTACTTGGGTTCTGGCAGGAGTGGGGGTTGATCATTTCATGTCACTCTAATTTCAGTCTAATCTCTTATATGACCTGAGGTACATCTGGCAATCTTCTGAGCTACTACTCATCATTAATATTTGTGACACAAGTTTACAGGTTTATCCTAGAACTTACGGCTGTGAATCTCTCATCAGCATGCTCCCAGGTGCTTCTGTTCTCCATCTGTTGTTTTTTTTGGGGTGTAGAGAGGTTCAGTTAAGGTGATTAACCTGGAAGTTCTTTCCACCTTGCCCCTAGACGGCAGAATGATTTCCAGGTTCTTTTTTGTTTAATCTAAACTAGAGAGTATACTCTCAACAGAGCCCAGTGGGTCAGTATTCCACTGTTCAGTTTTTATTTAAAGTGTTCTCTTTCTAAACAGTTATCTTTTTCTTCTGGTGGGCATGAAATCTTTTTTTCTTTCCTTCTTTCTTTTTTTTTTAAAGATTTTATTTATTTGAGAGAGAGCACGCACACACAAGTGGGGTGGGGGTAGGAGGAAGTGGCAGAAGAAGAGGAAGAAGTAGGCTCCCTGCTCAGCAGGGAGCCCAATGTGGTTCTTGATCCCAGGACCCTGAAATCATGACCGGAGCTGAAGGCAGATGCTTAACTGACTGAGCCACGCAGGTACCCCCCACCCTGCCACCTTTTTAAAGAAATCTGAAAATGTAACTTTTTGGTGTGCCTGGCTAGCTCAGTCAGTAGAGTATGAGACTCTTGATGTTGGGGTTGTAAGTTTGAGCCCCACATTGGGTGTAGAGAGTACTTAAAAATAAAATCTTTAAAGGGGTGCCTGGGTGGCTCAGTTGATTAAGCGTCCAACTGTTGATCTCTGCTCAGGTTTTGATCTCAGGGTAGTGAGCGAAGCCCTGTTTTGGGCTCCATACTCAATGTGGAGCCTACTTAAAATAACTAACTTTTTAAAAAAGTGACTTTTCTTTGGCACCAGTGAATGGAATACCTGACATCAGAAGAAATGCGCTGTTCTAGACTTTGTGCACAATACTGGATAACTTACAAAATAGAATCTTGATTTGCTCATCTTGCATGTGTCATAAGATTGTTGTAAAGTATTTTGAGGTTCTTAAGTGAGCATTAATGGATTACTATAAATTATTCCCCTGCTATGGTGTAAAGAGTTAAAAGAACTTTTTAAAAAAAGTCACTATGTACTGATAGTTTGCAGACAGGGCACATTTCTGCAAAAGATGAAGAAGAGAGGTATTTCATTCTTGGAAAACTCCCATAAATCAGGGCAAAATAAAAATTGTGTCACTCGGGGTCAGTCTACAAAAAAAAGTGAGCTGTTTTTCCTTTGGAAAATTAGTCTCCCAGGTCAGTTCTCGCGTAAAGCACTGTACATCAAGTGAAATGGAAGTTAGTTTTGCAAGCTTGCCTAAAAGGCTCTAAACATGTCTATTTTGTCTGCAGCAAAATAGGGTATGAAGATCAACAAGAGACCCAGCCTTTCCCAGGAGGTAGCATCTAAAGCCCCGACAAGAAAAATGCTTACTATGGTTAATTGGTCTGTGGAGGACCCTTGCCTTTGAGTAATATTGCCAGATTCGAGAAAGAAAAATATGGAATGCATAGTGAAATTTGTATTTTTAGATCACCGGCCAGTCATTTTTTAGTATAAATATTGGACATGTATGGGACATACTTATACTAAAAAATGATTGGCTATCGATCTAAAATTCATATTTCACAAAATTCATCCTGAATTTTAGCTGACAAACCTGTTGGGGAGGTAATAGTGCAAATTGAATCTCTATGACAGGGCTTCATGACCGTCCTCCATTCCCACAAGGGCCATGGTCGGGATGTTGATTTCATTCAGAGCATCTGTAATTGGTGGGCAGGAGGAGGACAGAACCAGCACAAGCTGAATGCTTATGAGGGAAAAATGTTTGGACTCTCCTCCTCCCAACCCCCCCACCCCCAAATTTTTTTCTCTTTGGGCAGGGTTCAGAATTTCAGTGTTTTGATCTACCATCTCAGTAATCATCTGGAATGAGTCTGTGTAGATTATTAGTTTATTTTTGGATATTTATTGTTACTGGTGGATCTTCATTCACTTGGTATTTTTCAGTATTTGCAGGTCTGTTTTGTTTTCTGAGAAACCCTCCAGGAATGTTCCAGAGGAGACTGATCTTTGATGTTATCCTTTGATCTGTAAAGGGCATAGCATCCACTTTGCAGCTACCTAATACATACCATTCTAACTCCTTTGATCTGCTTGCAGTCAAACTAAACAGTAATATAGATCTCTTCTTGAATGGTTCATCACCACTGTTTAAAAAGTGTGAATTTAGAACCAAAGTGAAAACTGTGGCATTTGTTTTGTATTGTGTTTTCTCATTTGTTAGAATTGTGCTAGTTTTTAAACTTATGTACTCAAACTGTTTCATTTATTTTTTGTTGCCGTATAGTTGGCAAACAATGTTATGTTAGTTTCAAGTGTTCAGCATTGTGGTTTGACAGTTCTGTGCATTGTACAGTGCTCACCACAGTAACTGTAGTCCCCATCTGTCAACCTACAGTGTTACTACGGTAGTGTTGACTATATTCCCTGTACTGTAGTCTTCATCCCATGACCTTTTTTTTTTTTTTTTAAGTTTTATTTTTTTTTTTGGGGGGGGGGGGGGGGGGGAGAATCTTTAAGCAGGCTCCCTGCTGAGCACAGGGCCCGAGGCTCGATCCCAGGAGCCTGAGATCATGACCTGAGCCAAAATCAAGAATCAACTGCCTAACTGACTGAGCCACCCAGGCACTACCCCACCCCCATGACCTATTTTTAACTGGAAGTTTGTACCTCTTAATCCCCTTTACCTGTTATGCTTATCCCCACCTGCCTTCCCACTTTGGTAACCACCAGTTTGTTCTCTGGATTTAGGACTGTGTTCCTCTTTTGCTTGTTTGTTCATTTGTTTTTTAGATTCTGTATATAGGTGAAATCATACTGTATTTGTCTTTCTCTGACATATTTCATTTTTTGTAATACCCTCTATGATATTGTTGTGAACATGTAGTGCATTCCTATTGTGGATGGCAAGATTTCATTCCTTTTTTTTCTGAGTAATTGTTCCATTGTATATTTGTATGTCTGTATCTTATCTTTATCTATTCATCTATGGATGGACACTTAGGTTGCATCTG